GCAATCAAATAAAAAAAAAATGTCTCCCTATGATGGGAAAACGTACAACGACAGAGGAGACGAGAAGACAGTGAAATATCAGATGAGAGAAGATGAAGAAAATCATGCAGAAGAAATATCTTCCCCTAAATTATCGCCAAGACATGTTTTTGAAACTCCACAATCTAAAACGGAGAGACCTTTTAGTAAAGGAGTTCACAACTTTGTTTGACCACTCAGCTCAAGTGTGATCTGACAAAGCCTGAGAAGAAATCATTAGCAAAATATCTTCGGGGTTTCAAGCCTAGTATCGACAATTTGGTGCAGCTACTGCCGTACTGGACGCTGAAGGATGTTCAGACATTGACATTGAAAGAAGAAATGGAACAGAAACAGAAGCGAAGCCAGGCATCCATCACCTGCCAGACACCCAAAGTTGGAGATACCGGCAAGAGCATGCCGCAGAGGGTTGAGAAAATTAGTTCGGAGGGAACAGAAACAGAAGCAGAGCCAGACATCCATCATCTGCCAGACACCCAAAGTTGGAGATACCGGCAGGAGCATGCCGCAGAGGGTTGAGAAAATTAGTTCGGATGCGGATAAAACCACCTCTAGTGAGAAGAAGTCGACAACAGTGTTCACTAGAAAATGCTTCAAATGCCACAGGTTTTGACACATAGCCTCTAGTTGCTCGACGAGCAAAGTTGTATCTTTTACTGAACAGGGCGCTGTGGAAGAGTTGTATCTTTTAGCGAGGAGCAGTAAACTGAGGATTAGGATGAGGAGCATTAGCTTCCATCAGATGAGGGAGAAACACTTGTGATTTGACATATTTTGCAGGTCGAGGTCACGAGGGATCCGCAGTAGCTTCGCCACATCATTTTCTACACTCACTGCACAATGAATAAAAATGTATGTGGTTATATCATTGACACTGGTAGCAGTAAGAATATAGGACTAATGACTCAGAGTCATTCCCAGTCATATTCACTGAGGTAGCTGAAGATGCAAAATAGGGTCAGCATTGACCGACAATGTCTAATAGAGTTTTAAATAGGGAGTCATTTGCAGAACAAGGTATGGTATGATGTGATCCCCATGAATGCCTGCCACATTCTGCTAGGAAAATCATTACAATTTTACCGGAAGACGCAGTATGATGGATTCAAAAACACGTATTCCTTCACCAGGGATGGCAAGCGCTTCATTCTACTTCCTTCGATAGCGCTCGAGGAGATAGGAGCTCTTACTAGCAGAGTAGCGGGATCAGTTTTAGTGACAATTGGTTCTCTAGCATCATGGTCACCACCATGCAAGAAATTTTAGTCCCAGAAGATCGGACCAAGATGGATGTGTGCTCACAAATGCTTTGGGAGGCAGTACAGTCGACAGTGGGATCCAGGTGTTCCCATGATTAAAGACAAGGGGCCAGAAGCTTCAACAAGTGAGGTCGAAGCTCCTTCAACCCCTGAAGCTGAGGGCTAGGGATAGGAACGACTGGTTCTCAAGGAAGGGGGGGCTGCCTCCCCCTTCTTCTTCTTCCTTCATTTCCTTTTCCTCCTTTCTTTTTTCCTTCATTTCCTTCTTTTCTTATTTTCTTTTCTAGGGCTTGCCTATTTTAAAACCTTCACTAAAACTGAAATCTGATTTTTATTCTCCTTCTTCTAATTTAAAGCATTTCCTAAAGTCTTTCTCCTAATTTAAAACATTTCCTAAAAGCATAAATCCCGATTTTATTCTCTTTTCCTAATTTAAAACTCTTCTCAAAATCTTAGACATTGACTTTATTTTTATTCTCTTTTTTATTTTAAATGTTTCATATAATAGGCCACGTCTCTTTATAAATAGTAAATGTTGGAGTCAGGGGTTGATTTTTAGATGAAATCTGAATTTAGTTTGTCTAAGCGTTTTTTTTCTTGAGGATTGTATTTGATGTCAAGGTAGTGCTCCGTCTTTCCCTTGTCTGAGGTGGTGATGACCTCCATGAGTATGAGTGGTGCTCCGACTGTATCTCGACCCCGCCAAGATACTTACATATCCTTCCGCTCTACCTGTTGTTGTCCATACGACAACTCTTTTACGACCTCTCTGCTGCTCTTCCAGGTTGCCGCCAGCCCTCCTGCGGCCTCCCTGCTGCTCTTCCAAGTTGTTGCCACTTGCCAGCTTATCTAGGTTGCCTCCCCATGCACGGTTGCCCTTTCAGGTTGCCGACAACTCTCTGCAGCCGCCTGCCGCCCTCCCTGATCGCCGCTCGTGCACTCCCTACTCGCCGAACTTATTATTACTTTGTTTGTTGACTTTTTGTTGTAATGTTTGGTCTATGTTTTGATTTATTTTTTATCTTTTCCTTTTCTTTTTTGAGTCATTGTTGTAACCGCCCGTTTAAGTTATTATTAATATTATTAACTTTATGTCTTGCGTTGTGATTTCGGTTAACTCCGGTGTCACATCATATTTACAATAAGCTCCCAAAAGTGCTAAATGTCAAAGTAACAACAGTTGTTTGAAATTTAGACAAAATCAACTCACTCTAGATTTCACCCTGACAACTATGATGCAATTTTATTGATAAATTTGCGGCTCAAATTGATCATATGTCAAAATGACATGCTTTATCTAATTTGATTATTTTTTTCACTTGTTTTAAACATTTTTATTATTACCATTTACACTAAAACAAAATTGACCAACTTCCAATTAGTTGCAATATAAAAAAACAACAACAATTATTATAATTTGATCTAACTTCAACTCGCCTATCAAAGAAGCAATCTTACCATCCATATTGGAAGCTAAACCACCACCAAGCACCAAATACAGACTATCTCTAACCTAACAACAAGTTCATTATTCTTCATGTCTTGCAGTTTGATGTCGAGAGGCGCGAGACCGACACGAGGATAGAGATCTGCTGCGCCGCAAAACCGGGGCTGCTGTTGTCGACTGTGAACACGTTGGAGGCGTTCGGCCTCGACATCCAGCATTGTGTTGTCAGCTGCTTCAATGACTTTGGGTTGCAGGCTTCTTGCTCTGAGGTAATAACAACAGTTCAGATTGTATAATTCTTCAATATCTGTTATATAATAGCAATATTTACATATATGTCATACAATTCTTATTTATTTACATTTATAGCACTCTAGCTTTATAAATGGTATATTTGTAAATGATATCTAAATCAAAATTTGATAGAACATGGAGCAGAGAACAGTGATGAACTCTGAAGATATAAAGCAGGCTTTGTTCAGGAATGCAGGCTATGGAGGAAAATGTATGTAAGAAGAAGATGATGGGAGGTGAGATTTGTTGGAGGAGAATAACTGTGAGCAGTGCTTGGCTGGGTTTTCTTCATAATTACTGTATTAAGTTAATTAATTGGGTTTTAAAGGGAGGGAAGAGGTGATTAATGTGTTAATTACTTTTGCTGATCAATTATTGATTACCTTTTTTTGATCTATGTGTTGGCATTCTGGGACTCTTCTATGTCTGTATTACCTGTTCATCAATTTTTTAATATGGAGGTGATTAGTTTATTAAATTCCCTATAATTCTTTCATTGGATGCTAATCTGTCTATGTAAAGCTTAGATTCTTGGGCTTAGTTGTAATGACATTAATTTACTTTTTGGAATAGGGGTGTAATTGAGTCAAACCGACTCATGAGTCAGCTCGATAAGTGGCTCATGAACTGAGCTCGATGAGCTAATAAGCCAAGCTCAAGGTCGCCTCGACTTGACTCGTTAGCCCTCGAGTCTTCTCTTTTCAATATATATATATATTAAATTTAAACATTTTATCTTTAAAGTAGTAAAAATGCTTAAACAAAATTATATTTCATATTTTGTGTTTTATTATTATTATTTATCTCATAACTGTCCATTCTATTTGTCATTTTATTGTAATATTATCTTAGATTAATATTATTTTATTTTTTTATAATAAACAAGCCATTAGCCAATTCTAACTCGTAGATTTAAGCTCAAGCTTGTTGAGAAAATTAGGGCGAAAAAAAATAGTAATCGACACAAATCCAGAAGAACACACAGAGATTTAACGATGTTTGACAAAGATGCTTACGTCCTTGGGAGCAAAGCGGCGAATTTCACTATTTCAGATGAGTTTAGTTCATACTCATAGGTTATACATCATATATATAGAGAAAACTCACAGATAAAATTACTAACACGCCCTCGCTCCCCCCAACCCACTTATTTCCAAGAGACACACATCTTCACTCCAAGAGACACTCATCTTCATTCCATGAGACACACCTCTTCAATTACAAGAGACTCCAAATTTTCCCAGCGTCTATCCCTATATGGTATATGAGCCATATCATAACAAAGCTCAAATTCAATAAAATTCATCATGCTCAAGCGGAGGGTGGCTCGCGACTTGACTCTCTTACAATCCTAATTTGGAATGATGTTTGGGGAGTTCTTACAAACATAGCACACAACTCTTACCTATTTACATAAAATTTGTTATTTATTTTTATACAATTTTGTTATCATAAACCTATCAATAAAAGAAAGAAAAAAAAAAAAAGGTTTTTAAATATGGCAGCAGGGTAGGTATTAGATATATAAACATAAAAGAATTGTATGGAATGCATGTATATGCCTTATTTTTATTTGGATATTTTGGAATAATTACATAAAAACCACCCAAAATATTTGTATTTACAATCTAACCGTCCACTTTTTTTTTTGGTTTCTCCAAATTGATATATTTACACGTGTCACGATCAAACTATTGAGAATTTGATAAAAATAAAAAAAAATGGCTTTGTGTTTAACCATGAATTTTGATATTTAGGCGAGATATTTTTGTCGAGCTTATTAGATTTATTTAGAGATGAATATAATATATAAAAAAATGATTAAAATTTATATTACATTTATCTTAAAATAAATTACAAATATACCAGATTCTGAAGCCCAACTGAATTTGAGGGAATAAATGAAAAATTATTCTAAAATAAATAATTTTTTTAGTAGACCAAGTTGGGGTCGGGGATGGGGACAGCCAGCATGGTCGAATGCTTACGCATCAACTTGGCCTGCTCTTTCTGGAGCAGGACGAAGCAAATATACTGGTCTTGGTTTTATTAGGCAATGGATTTTGGACTTGCAGGCTCCAATTATTTATTTATATATTTCGGTGTTCATATTATTGTCTGTCAAGTCTAACTAATATGCAAAAAAGTAATTTCATATAAAATTTTATTCTTAAGGGGGTTTATTTAGAGAAAAATATGTTATTAGCTTTTTTTTGGTATTTACTGTTAAGTTTTAAATTCTAATTAATACAAGGGAAATTTACATACAGACCACACAAGTCCTTGGTATTTGCATATCTAAGTCTTTAAAAATTTGATATTTATATTTATAACACTTTGGTGACATTGCCGTTTGCATAAAAAGATGCACTTCACTTTTAAGAAGTTAATGGAAGGATATTGTAAACGTCCATTATATAATCTGCACGAAAATTTACATGCAAACCATGCAATTTTGATATATTTACATGTACTTTAATTTTTACATATATATCACTTTATTTATGTATGGAGAAGTGCATTTCACTTTTTAGAAGTCAAACTAGTGATGCTTTCTTATGTAATATAAAATTTCCGAGGTTTAAATGCAAACATAAAGTTTAGATGTTTAGATATGTAAATTCATAGGAATTGGGTGGTATATGTATTATCTTTATATATATATATATATATATATTTTATAATTTGAAATAAAAAAGTCACATATTTGAAACATTACTATTTAATGCAAGGGTTGCTCGTGGATCCAATTTTGAACTAAGACTATTTCTACACTGGGAACCCATTCAATTTATCAATTTGCTTATTAAGGACATTTTATATTTATATATTTTCTTTTTTGAAAAGGCTTATTTAAATTAGAAAATATATTTCATTTGCATTTGTTCTACATAGGGCTGTCAAAAAAGCTCGTTGTTCGTTAACAGTTCGTGTTCGGTTTGTCAATGAGTTCGTGTTCGATTCGTTCGATAAGAAAACGAGATGAATGCAAAAATTTTTTTTTCGTTCGGTTAGTTAAACTAATCAAACACGAACAGCGATGCATTCATTCGTGTTCGAATCTTTATTGTTCGAAATATAAAA